AACACCTATTAATGAGTTCCTTATAAATTGGTACTACAGCTATGAAAGGTTATTGCAAATCACAGGGTTCAGTTCCAAGTGGGGGCACAGAGGGAAGGGAATTAAGAAAATAAGTGGAAAGAGAAAGCCACAGGAAGTGGTGGGGGAGCGAGGGGAAAGAAATGAGAGTGAGAGAAAGGAGGGGGAAGGGATAAAAAAAAGAAAACGGAAAGGGAGAGACAAGATAGGGTAAAAAGGAGATGGGGAAAGAGGGAAAGAGGGAAGGAAAAAGGGAAGTGAGAGAGACGAGAAAGGAAAAAAAGGAAGGGGAGGGAGGGAGGGATATAGGTGAGGGGGAGGCAAAGAGAGAGGGAGGGCTGAGGAAAGGGAAACAACAGAAAGGGGAGAGAAGGGAGGAGGAGTGGACAGAAGAAAAGGAGGGATGAGGGACGGGGAAAAGACAAAAGGTGAGAGATGAGAGAGAAAGGAAGGGAGAGAGGAAGGGATGAGGAAAGGGAAAGAACAGAAAGGGGAGAGAAGGGAAAGGGAGAGGACAGAAGAAAAGGTGGGATGAGGGAAGGGGAAAAGACAAAGGGTGAAAGATGAGAGAAAAAGGAAGGGAAAGAGGAAGGGATGAGGAAAGGGGAAAAACAGAAAGGAGAGAGAAGGGAGGAGGAGAGAACAGAAGAAAAGGAGGGATGAGGGAAAGGAAAAAGACAAAGGGTGAGAGATGAGAGAGAAAGGAAGGGAAAGAGAAAGGGATGAGGAAAGGGGAAGAACAGAAAGGAGAGAGAAGGGAGGAGGAGAGAACAGAAGAAAAGGAGGGAAAGGAAGGGAAAGAGGAAGGGACGAGGACAGGGGGAGAAATAGAATGGGAAAGAAGTGATAACGAGAGGGAGGGGAGAGAGATTGAAGGATAAACATCATTAGAATAGGTGAGGCTCCAGACAAGGGGCAAGGAATAAAAACATAACCATTCTTTATCATGTACTCTTGTCAAGCATTTCATTCATGATCATCATTTCAACAAGAAGTAAAACTATAATCATTGACTTTGAAGACAAATTTGCCACAACCTACATCAGTCAATGGTCTGCCACCCTAAAAAATAATAAAAAAGAGGTGTTGTGATCCATAATACCCATATGAGACAAATAAACTTAGATTTTTTTAAAAAATAAATTGCCCTTCCACTCCAGAGTGTAGGATTTCATATTTTCACATGACTTCCACAGCCCACCTCAACCTCCTTACTCTATCACTACTGAGTCAAACAGTTAGGTCATGAGAATAAAGAAAATGGT